GAAAGGGAGGCCCTGAGAGGTGTGTGTGAGTGTCACCTCCCGCAGGAACCCGATGTGCGTGCGTGTCATCTACCGCAGGAATCTGGGTGCGCCTAGGGCCGGGCGGCGCAAGGCGGGGCACCCCTGGCCTTGCCCTCTGATCTGGACGTTGGTTTAGAGATGATCAGAAAGAGATGTTACAGATTTAGAGGAGGGAAGGTCAGTTTTGTAGGAACTGGTAGCTTCTTTAGCGTTTTAAAAAAGAAATAGGAATAATTTGAGAGGTTGTGAAGCCACCTGTTCACAGGCCAGATAGGTAGGTCAGGCGTTCTCCGCTAGGGCACTGCTCAGCTCTGGCCTGGGCTGCTGCAGAAGGTGGGCCCAGTGTGGCTTGCTCTTTTGCTTTTTCAGGAGAAACCAGAAATCTGAGGTATATGTGAAATCTCTTGATTTTTAAACACTGGCACCTAACTTAAGTGCCAGTCTGTGGGCTAATCTGACAACGTTTTGCTGATGGGATCTGCTGTGGACACAACGCGGCGGGTGAGCCGGGGATGGGCCGGTGGCGCAGATCGCTAAGAGAATGTACCAGAGATGAAGAAGAATAGTAAAGGCATTTATTAGGGGTACACTGCGCATGACAACAGCAGGGCACACAGAGGAGAGGTGTCTGTGTGAGCATGGGGCGAAGAACAAAGGAAAAGTTTAATAGTTACGCTGTTGTAGGCAACAGCGGGCCACATAGGCAAGAGGTGCCTGCGTGAGCGCAGGGAGTCCGCTGTTGGGGTCTTTTATAAGGTAGGGCCTCAAGGTGCCTGATCCGCTTGTGCACGAGTCTCTGATTGGTTGTAGGTGAGATAAGAAGTTTAGGGTCATGAAGGGCGGTAGGGTTGATGACTCTGATAAGGTGGGCTGAAACAAGCCAGCCTGAGCTACTGTGAGATTAGGCATTACCTAGGGCTATCAGTTTGTTAGGGCAAACGTGCCCGGTAAAGAATGTACTTTATCTGTTGAGGGATTGCAGGCTGATACCTGAGAACCCAGAAATGGAGGTTGTTGGACTTTGAAGGATGTCAGTTGGCCCCGCAGGATCCACCTGCAGCATTTGCCCTGGGGTGTGGAGAGGTGAGAAGACACGATTTACAGGAGCCACTGGGCACAGTGGAGTTTTGTAAATTCCACCAGAAAAGTATAAAGTACTGAGGATTCCAGGTGAGTGTGATCACTCTGATTCTTAACGAGGCTCTGCTTTTCTGATTGTTTAGAAGAACCGTGTTCATGGAGGTCTGTGTTAGCTCTGGAGCTTTCCTCTCCCTCATCTCTCACAATCTGGTCCATCTCAGAAAGCCAGGCTGCGGTCCCAGGGACAGGCTTATCTCCCTCTCCCCCAAATCCCTGCTGTAATCAAGCAGACCAGCCTGGGTGCTTGCAAGAAACCAGGGCTTCACATTGTCGTTTGCCTTCCCTATGGCTGGCAGATGGGCTTCCTGTGGCCAGAGCCTGTTTCATGGACAAGTCTGATTCTGAAATAGGTGTGATATGTATGGGGGGGAACACCCCCACCCCTTTGAGGTCTGTCCCCTTCAGAGTGCTCCTTCTGCCTCCTCCCTCCTCACCCACTTCTCTGCCACTTACAGACAGAGGCAGCCGGAGTGGGAGAAGGAGGGGCAGGACTGGCTTCTCTGCTCAATCTGGCAAGCCTGGAGAAGTGAGGAGGGGAAGGGGCTGCAGACCTTTCTTTCACAACAAGAGTCTGTTGATGCTCCAACTTCTAAAATGATTCTTGCAAGGAAATTAGACCAGCGTTCCCTTGGATGGAGGCAGCCACAGTGGCTCCTCTTTACTCATGGTGTGAAACCATTGGACCCAGCAGGAGCTGGGCCACTTCCTCCCACACATCATGATACCTGCTGGCCCTCCGGCCCTGCAGAGCTCTGGGCTTATGCCTTGTGGGGACCCAACTGGGGCTAAGTGGAGGTTGGAGGTAGCGTTTGCACAATAATGCCTCATTAGCCTCTGTGGGTTTCGACTTAGCCACTCAGAGCAGTTTGGAAGCTTTTTTTTTTTTTAAGACAGTAGAGGATGAAGTGGGTTTGTATGTATGTATCTGTTTCTTGCCTCTTTTACGTGCATTTTCTTGCTGTGCAGAAACTGTTTCGAGAGTAATTCTGCAGAAAGTTTGTTTTAGGGGTGGCGTCTGGGCAGAGTGCACTGGTCTGGAAGCCAGCCTCGCAGATCAAGCGTGGTGAGGCTCAGGGTCTTCATGCCCCTGGGAGTGGGAGGCTCATTGCAGTGTTCCCAGGACCTCAGCTTCATCTCCCTTTTCATCTCTCTTTTTTCCGGCATAATTGAGAATAAAAAAGCTGGATATAAACCAGAGCTAAGCTAGAAGGTGATCAGATACTTTACAGAAAGATTTTTAGCTTTTTGAAAGGTTTTACTGTGAAATTAATTCCTTTGGTTTTTCTTAGCTCATATTTGAAATTAGACATTTTGTTTGTGTAGCTTTGCAAGACCAAGGCTATTGGGCAAATCAGGTTACTCCCCACTCCCCAGTTTCTGAGTGGCCTCTGTCACGTGCAGTTCCTTCGCTGTTACAAGGCTATAATGTGATCTTGACATTTGTGCCTGGACAATTCTTGACCTCTGGAGGAGTGGAAGGGGGTTCTCTTGCAGGGAGGAGGAGGAGGCATGCGCTCTGTCTGCACATGGTGACCACTGGTGAGCAGAGGGACCTGGAAGCCAGGAGGCATTTTGGTACCTGGGAGCCAGAGCAAGGACAGGCACACCTGGATTCTCCTCCAGTCCCTCGGGGAACCCTGCAGGGCTGCCCCTCTGCTGCCCCTCACACCCGACTTGGTGAACGGGCACATCTAGGGGATGTCTCTTTGCAATTTCTGAACTCGAGGACTGAGTAACAGGTGTCAGACGTCTTGCTGTCCAAGGTGAGGGCAGAAGACCACCTGGGGGCTTGTAAATACAGAATCTCACTCCATCTATACTGGCTGCATTGAGCAAGACAGAATCATTGATGTCAAGAATATCAAAAAAATAAGGGAAAATTTACAGGGGCTGGAGCACAGGGTCCTTCTTACCTCTCCTGGGGCTAGAAGGAAGCTCTGACTGTGCTGATACAGGAGGTCCACAGATTTGTTCTCAGTGCTCAGAATTCTCTTCGGATTGGGGGAGTAATTTTACATTAGAGACTATTTCCGGATTATCCTTGGGTTAAAAAAGAAAGCTCATATATCCAAAAGATACTGAGCAATAGGGTCTGCTCCAAACTCCCACAGTCAAGTTCCTTTAGTGGATGTTTGTGTGTCTCAGCCTTGAATGAAAAGAGGAGTGTTGGTGAGAAAGAAGAGTGCCCATTGATCCTTGGGTCCAGCTGAAGCTGAAGTGGAAGCACCCACTCAGTGCCACTTTGATTTTACTTCCTACCCTTCCAGGTGGCCCGTCAGCGCCGGGGCTCTCCATTCCCACCAGCCCTGGGGCTGACCCTGCCCTGGCCTCACCCTTGCCCCTACCTGGCATTCTGCCAGTGGCAGTTCCCTGACCCCAGAGAACTGTTCTAAAGATTTTTGTTCCAAAGTCCATCCGTCTGTCATCTCTCCATTCATATGCACACCCCTAGAACTCTCTGATTTCTTTTATTCTCTGGTTGTTTCATCGTACTATGTCATCCTGTCTCTGCCTTTGGTGTCCCATGAGTAGAATGGATGGACTTTAGAAGTGGTTGCTTGTAGGAGCCAGTGGTGTGTGTTAGGAACAGAACGTTGGTTTAGAGACATCATATCTGAGAGTCTGCAGTGTTCCAGGCTTGCTCCAGGCACTTTGCATCCATTCTAGTTACACTTGCAAGAATCCAGCCTGTAGGTGGCTTATTTCCATCTGACACTCTGCTCAGGGTCAACCGGTGAATACAAGGCTGTGTGGTCGCAGAGTCCCGTACATTCCCCTTCTCTGGCTTGGCATGAGCTGAGGTGCCCTGTCTCACAGAAGAGGATGCAAGGCTGGGACTTTGCACGCTCAGCCAGGCTTTGTGCTCAGAGTTTGCCTGACCTGGGTGAAAGGCCACTGCACTGATGCAAGAGAGCGCAGACTTGCTTCACTCGTGATGAACTGGTGGAGCATGTGGCCGGGGTTTCTCCTTAATCGGGCGTAGATCAGAAGTTAATCAGAGGGCAGAGAAGACCTTTCATCCCCTTGGCTGATTCTGTCTGCTTATTAACTGAACGCTGCCCTGCTTTCTCTGTGACAGAGAACTTGTCACATGACTGTGGGGGTGCCGTCCATCGTGCGCATGACAGAGCTCCTATTTACCAACAATGGGGACCCTTCCTTGGAACTATAGGAAGAGTAACGTTTGGGTGGAAATACCCTTCACTCACTGAAAGTGCCCTTCGAAATGCTTCCTTCTAGGCCTGCCACAATGCCCGTCGTAGTAAAGGACATCATGAAACTGCTGTGTTCCATCTCCGAGGAGAAGAACATGAAGGCGACCATCAGGCACTCTGGGAGGGGCGCCCTGGTCGCAGGGGCCGTGGCCTTCGTTGGTGGTTTGGTTGGCGGCCCACCAGGAGTAGCCTTTGGTAAGTGCAAGGGTCCCGCAGGGACAGTTGTTGGAAAAAGGCCTTTGAAACCACGGGGACCTCATAAAAGCCTCTGCCCTGTGTGGGAAGTTTGTTGAGCTAAGGTTGCTTCTGAGAAATGGTCTTTGGGAACATATATAGTCCTGTTAAAAACACAGGCTTCTGTGTGAATGTCTCAGAAGTGAAGGGCGCCCTTGAAAATGGCATTTGTGTCACACAGACCTGGAGGACACTTCTCCCCTGCCCCAGGGATGTGTCCTAGGGTCTGAAGATTTCAGGGTGTCCCAGGTCCCTCGAACAGCCTCCCTCCCCCATCACCACTGAGGGGAAGCGAGAGGAACCCGAGACTGGCCCAGCACCTCCTCGGGGCTGGTGCTGTTGGGCCATTTTACATAAGCTCAGTCACAGAGCACTTCCTCGTTCTGAACGCAAGCAGTCCGAGGTAGGAACAGCAACAAGCAAACTCCTAGAGGGGTGGTCCCTGCCCCCTGCTTTTAGCACCTGCTTCTGTTTGGGAACCAGTTACTGGCAACAAATGAAAGTTTGATTTTTCCGCATCGTTCCTTGGAGCTAGAAATGATGTTGCTTTCTTTGGCTGAGGAGCAAGAAGAATTCCTGTGTGGCCCTGACCACAGGCTCGGGGTGGTGTCAGAGAGCTGGCCGCTGTCCCAACCTGACATAGGGGAGGGGCCAGATAAGGCCTCCCTTGAGGTGCCTCAGATGGACCCTGTCACACGGGGGCATCAGTGCAAAGCGTGGGCTCAGCAAATATTTACTGAATGCCTCCTCTGTGCGGGGCAGCCTGTGCTGGGGATACAGGGCCAAGGAAAGCCCACATTCTGGTGGAAATTCTTCCTCGCAGTCTTCACATGAATACAGGCTGTTCTTCTGAGGCTGGCTTCTGTGTCCCAGTGCACTGGCAAGGCTTCTTGCTCCCTTCTTGCTCCGTTCCTCCCTTCGGTAGCAGGATTGACATTCAAGGATGTTTTATTAAGCTGAGGCCACACTGGGGAGAAAAATCAGTTTGGGGGGTGGCCCCAGACACTCCATCTATACATTTCCATTTCCATACTCTATGCATTAGTGAGTCCTGGCTTCCACTTCTTGCCATCCAGGAAGTGGCCCATGGGGGAGGAGACAAGGCCATCGCCTTCTTCCTCGGTGGCATCCCGTGTCTTTGTCCTGCCCCATCTGGTGTGCTCAGGGAGGGCTTGCTGCGATCATTTATCGTATAGCTGTGCCCAGATGCCATTTGAGGGGCATATATTTTGTTCAGATTGAGCAAAAGCTGATAGAGAACAGGATATCTGCAAAGAGAACCCGGGGGATCCACTCACTACTTGCAGCCCTTGGTCATGGCCGGGAGCATCATTTTACCCAGAAAACAAAGGAATTTTCTCTTCTCCAAAGAGTTAGTAATTTGCTGGTCGATATTTCCTGGCGACTTTTCACATTAAGTGCTGCTCTAAATCAAATATTGATGTTCTCGTAAAGGTTTAGTGCAGATGAGTGCAACTCTTGTCGGCTCTAAGCGTTTCACTGGTGTCATGGGGAAAAGTTCAGTAAAACTTGCAAATGACTGGCTCTGCCTCCCTGGAATGCTCCTTTCTTTCAGAGTGCGGGGCAGATGTCTGTCCAGGGGCAGTGTTCAGCCTCCGTGACCCGAGGCTGGCCAGCCCGGTCCCCGTGTCAGAGGAGGTGTATGCTTCCAGGTGCCTCCGCACTTGGCTTTCTGAGATAGAGCAGGATTTACTGCCTATCGGCCGAGTCCAGCCTACACATTTGGGTTTTACCAGTTTTTGCATTAATGATCTTTTTCTGTCCCAGATCTATCCCACAATACCACGTTGCATTTAACCATCGTGTCTCCTTAGTCTCCTCTGGTCTTCTTTTTTTTTTTTTTTACAGCTTTGATAGTTTTGAGGTGTACTGGTCAGATATTTTGTAGAATGCCTCTCAATTTGGCTCTGCCTGATGCCCTTCTCATGATTACACTGGGGTTATGGATCTTTGGAAGGAGTGCCACAGAGGTGAAGGACGCTTCTCATAGCACATTGCAGGGCATCCATGGGACCTCCCTCGTGATGCTCACCTTGAGCACCTGGTTCAGGCCAGTTTTCTCCACTGCAAAGTTACTGTTTCCCCGTTCCATACTCTCTTCCTCCAAAGAGAGTCACCAAGTCCAGCCTGGCTGCATCTTTTAAATATCTGATTGCCAATATTTTAAAATCTTGGGACTTTTTAAAGATACAAATCTGGCATTCCACATAGCAGCAGTTGGCTGGCACGGGGTAGCCACTGCTCCTTCGCACAGAGACCCAGCTCTCCAGGTCACCACAGGCCCACACAGCCCACCTCAGTCCTTTCGGTTACCTGCCCGGCTTCTTGAGTGTGAGACCCCTGCCCTAGGACATCTTTCTATAGCAGACTGCACCTGACCTGGTTAGATGGACCTTTCCATTGATACAAGGTCTTCAGGTCCTTAAATAGCATGCTTTTACTTTGATGATAATAAATTTACATTTAAAAATAATACTTGTGCCCTTCTAGGTAGCAGAGAGAGAAATAGCTTGGTACATTAAATTTGTTATCTATCATCACACAACTTTGGAGGGGTTGTGTGAAAACGTTTCAAGAGAAGACACCCCCTCATCTATCCCCAGCGTCTCTTCAGCACCTGATTTCACTGGGAATTTTAAAGTTCAGGGCTGAGGAGCCACTCACTGGAGGAAACGGACTCACCACTGAGATGGTTCTCCTTGAAAATGTATTTGCTTCTCAGCCCTCTCCTTTGAGATGAGAGAAATTTTTATGGGAGGCATGGAAACCTTCATTTCAGCCCATGAAGAGGATTTTAGTTAGCACAGCTCTGAGGTGGGAGGTGCTTCACAGTGAGTGGAGAGCTTAGGGGAGGGCACCTTTGGGTGTCAATTATCTGAGCCAAATGGACCGCAGACCACATAAACCTTTGCCCTCCGCCTTCCTGGCGGAGCAGATATGAAGCCGAGCCCGTTCTGACTGGCTCATGAATGTGCCCACTCGTCAGGCCAGAGGACAGGTGCTCACTGAGAACCTGTGGCCATCATTTATGAATAAGGCCGACTAATTGGCTAATCCTCTTTTCTAGGGGGCGCCATCGGGGGTCTATTAGGCGCGTGGATGACGAGTGGACAGTTTAAGCCAGTTCCTCAGATCTTAATGGAGCTGCCGCCTGCCGAGCAGCAGAAGCTCTTTAACGAGGCCGTCGCCATCCTCAGGCACCTGGAGTGGACGGACGCCGTGCAGCTGACCATGCTGGTCATGGGCAGTGAGGCCCTGCAGCAGCAGCTGCTGGCGATGCTGGCCAACTACATCACCACGGAGCTCCAGGCGGAAGTTCGGTACGACGACTAGGCCACTGCTCTGCGGAGCGGGGGTCCGTCCGAGGTGATTCCCCCCATGGCCCTGGCTCCTGGCAGGTGACCGGGGAGCTGGGGGAAGCCCCGCATCGTCAGTGTGTCACCCTAAACTGGAGCGAAATCTCCCGCTGGAGAGGCTGCTGCTGTGATCTGTCATGTTCTGGAAGTCATTTATGAAGACACTGTGTTGTGTGGCTGTGTGCTCCACTGTGCCCTGACAACCTTTCGACAGGGAAGCTGGGGAACGTCACATTGAGCCTTCTGATCTTGTGAAGATGACGCCTGTCCAGGCACCCTTTGCACAGCCAGCCCCTCTCAGGGCCTGGGTCTCGGGACCTCAGAGCTGGCCCAAGCTGGAATCATGTTTACCTCTTGAATGCACCTTCCCCACCACCCCCGGCCCCCCAGTGACTTCTGAGTGGCCTCACGGAGGGGCATTAGGCCTGCTGAGTGAAGCCACAAATGTCAGTGGCACCCAGCCCCTCCCCCACTAGCTGTCACCTGGGCTCTGGCCCCTCCCAGGGGCTTGCTTTCCCTATCTGAAAAATCACCGTACTTCTTAGGTTCTGCTTTTTAATTAAATATTTTCAGTAAAAAAGTACTGCTGTTTCTGATGGGGCAGGATCGTAAACTCTCTCTAAGAAATGTACCCACCCTAAATTTCCCCTAATACTGTTTTTGCTTTGCTCTCAGAACCGTAACTTGACTGTCAAGTGTCATCAAATTGCAATAAATATTTTGTAACCAGTCCTTTTTGTACCTATTTTGTGTAAAGTATCTCTAACATTCGAAGTCATTGACAAGGGAAGGTATGGGATTTGTGTCTTTAAAGAGTGAAAGAAAGCTCTGAGTTCCAGTGCCTGAGACCTGACTTTCAGAGCTGCTCTGGCTCCTGTGCTGCAGGTGTGTGGACACCGCCCCAAGCCTCCCCTAGCAACCGCAGAACATCTCTCGGGTCTCCAGGGACCAGGACAGAAGCAGCACTGGCCTCCCTGGGGTGCAGAGGGAGGCATGCCTGCTGAGGCGAGTCAATATCCCACACCTCCGTGTGTGGAAAGAAAACTTCAGGGTGAATTGGAACCCATGGTGATTAAGGAAGGATCGAGCTTTTATCTCAGAAAAGTTGCTCTTCATCTGACTAGCACAAATCAGGTGTCCTGGCACAGGCCCGGGCTTGAGGAAGCCACTGCGGTCATTTGCACTGCTTGGGTTTGGGGAGGTAGGGCGAGGCCCATTGAGATGATTCTCCTGACTCAGAAGGTGACTAGGGGGTTGGGGGAAGCCCCACTCATTCATTTCTCATGTGTTGGGTCCTACTATGCCAGGCCCAGGGGACACAGGTGGTCCCAGCTCAGAGGTCCTGCACCTGTGTCCACTGGAGTCCCTCCCCTGGCCTGCCTGCCTTTCCCCCTGGGAAAACCACTTCAGGGAGGAGATGGCCCGACTGCTGGCCAATTTGGCATTGGACAGAGCAGGCCTTGCTGAATGAAGCCACTAGCTGGGTCCTGGGTGACTTGCAATGGGCTTTGAGTCCAGACCTCAAGTCTTGTCTTCCCCAAGAGCTGAAAGCACCTTCTTTGCTTTCTCCTTCAAACAGCTATGGCTTTTGTATTTCCATTTCTGTACCTTCTTTGAAATTCTTCATTTATTTTTGAATAGGTAATACCAACCTGGTACAAAACGTAGAAGATACCAAGAGATCCAAATAGATAAGGAAGGTGTCCTTTTACGCTGACGCCTGCTCCAGCCCCTCCCCAGATGCAGCCACTGGACCAATTTCTCATGCACTCCTTTAACTATGTTTTTAGATAATCTTTGAAAACTATTCCTTTCCTTTTATTTGTCAGTGTTTATTGCTGAAAACACAGAAAAATCCAACAAAATAAAAACCACTACAAATTTCACTACCCAGAAAACCACTATTAATTCATACAAACCAGGGGGAGGGTGTAGGTCAAAGCGCTATTGTGCACGCTTAGCATGCACGAGGTCCTGGGTTCCATCTCCAGTACCTCCTCTAAAAAATAAATAAGTAAATAAACTTAATTACCTCCCTCCGTCCCCGGGAAAAAAAACTAAAAAAAAATTTCATGTAAACCTTTTAATGCCTTGTATGTGTATTTCTGATGTGTTTGCATCCTTACTGTTCAGACCTTTTTGAACATTTTTACCAATCAACGTAAAACAACACTTGTGATTTGAAACCCCTTGTAAACGTGTGTAATGGCTTTATACTATTCCATTGCACTAAACCGTGTACCTGCTGTAGTTTCCTTTGTAGGTTTTTACTATTATGGTGCTATGGTGAACACTTCTCTGCTAATATTCTTTTCCTATTTTGGGTTATGGTAGTCTTCAGGGTAGATTTCTCAAAGTGAAATTGCTAGATTAAAAACCATGCAGTGTTTTTTAAGGCTGTTGTTATATTCTGTCAAAATGATTTCCAGACAGTATCAATAATTTGCTCTCCCAACAAAAGGTTTTGGGGGGTGCTTATTTTGTCATATCCTCACCAAGAAGTAGTAGTTGGTGATGCCTGACATCTTAGTTTGATTTGTTTTAATTTGGATGGGGCTGTTAACAAGGCCAGGGGGACCTCCTGGTGGCCACCTGCCCAGGCAGTGCTGAGAGCCCCTGGGTCCCTGTGGCCTGGGCCCAGCAGAGGGTGAGGGGGCCCTGGCCTGAGCAGGGTCCTGGCTGGGAGGTGGCGGCCGTTTGGCCAGGGGACAGCAGGGGAGTACCAGGGAGGTAAGGAGGCAGCTGAGGAAGAAGCCTTTTGGGGGGGACCCAGTAATTATAAAAAGGAACCATCTGCTCTGGGCGGGTTATTAACCTGCTTTGGGTGTTGACATGACAGTGCCGAGCGAGATTTTTCACAGGCAGATGGTGTATTTTTAGCTAGAATGAACTTCTTTATTTATTTTGTTTTTTGTTTTTGTTTCTTGAGATGTCTGGATTAGAAGTAAACAGGGCCAAGTGTGTTGCAATGCGGGAGGCTGGGAGGACTGGGGTTCAGGGTGTGGAAGGGTCATCTTCCCCATTAGTTGTTGATAGGTGCCACCTAGTGGTCAAGAGGGCACATCCTTTCTCCTCTTCCCTCTGAGCCAGGCCCACGGGGCCTTCTCTGTGTCTCCAGCCAGGCCAGGATGTGGCTCTGCAAGGATGCTGTTTTATGCCCTCGGAAGGGGCTGGGGCCTTCTTGAGGTTATAAGAAGCCATGAACAGAACATCAGCCCTGTCTCCTGCAAACTTTTTGCATATAAACCAGAATGTCTCTCAATCCTGAACAATCGACATATGGCAATTAAGAAATGCCAGGATTCATCTAAACCACACAGGGCGAGGGGACTGTCTGATGTGTTTTCAGTTTGTTGGGAGGAGATAAATGGCTTTATTAGCTGGAGGTGGCTTCTCAGACCATTCTGATAACAAGTCAGGAGGCAAATCTTGGACTGGGTCAGTTCCATCGCAGCCGCGGGGCAGCTGCGGGTGCCCCAGATGCTGGCAAAGTCAGGGAGCTGAAACACATTTCTCTAAACTATAGAAATGATGGCTATTTATTAAATTTCTGTGAGCTTTAAAGAGAGGACTTTACTCTTTCTCATTTGCAATTAAGCAAATGCAAGGATAATATCTAGGCGATATCTGTTACACACCAATTAATTAGTATAAATAAATAGAAATGATCAAACCCAGAGCTGGCAGGGCTGTGGGAAAACGATGTGTACACGTCCACACGCGCATATACTCCACTGGAGAAAATGCACAGTGATACGATCCTTTGGGAAAGTGATTTGAAGGAAAAAAGTCACAGGAACCATAAAATTGTATATACTTTCCAGCCAACAATTTTCACTTCAGGGAAAACATTACAATAAAATAACTCAAATAGAAAAAAGATAGATATTCATAGCACTGCTGTTTATGATAGCAGGAAGACAGGAAAACAATTCCAATGTTGAACAACAGGGAAATAGTTAAACCACGTATGTGGGCAATATAATGAAATACTAATAGCCAAATTTAATAAGTAGTAAATAGCCAAATTTAATAAGTAAATGTATATGAAAGTCAGCGGAATTGCTCCATATGCATTATTTACGTTACAGCAATTTCATGTTTATGGGCTTGAGGGGACACATAAAGAAAAAGAAAAGCTGGAACCGGTGCTGGTGACCCCACGGGCTTTTGATGCCCCGAGGGTGTGTGAGGGAAAGGGGCACAGGCCAGGAGACTCAGACTGCGGGCATCTTGTGCTTGAGGGGATTCTGATGTTTAAAAATGTGAATTGCCTTCCTGTCCCCAAGCCAAAAAGGGCAAGCCTGGTCCCCAGCTCCCTAGGGCTGCCTCCCAGGGACTGTTCACGGCCACTCTGGCTGGAGGCAGCATCCTCACGAGCCTACTGTGGTCCTGCCTGCTCAGAGGCAGGGTCCACTGCGGCGTGAGATTCCAAAGCACAACACCTGCCCACCCACCAAGGCCGGAGGGCCAGCCCGGCTGGGGGCTGTTTGCATATAGGGTCTTCTCTCTAGAGTCTGTCCAATGGAGATATTAATACAAACCACAAATATAATTGTATGTTTTCTAGAAACCACATTTTTTAAAAGAAGAAACAGATGAAATAAATTTAATAATATATTTTATTTAACCCAATATAGCCAACCTATTATCCACATGTAATCAATACAAAAGATTATTGAGATGTTTTATTTTTTCGATTTTTTATATTAAATCTTTGAAACTCAGTGTATATGTCACACATACAGCACATCTCAAATCTGACTAGCCACATGTCAAGCCACATGTGGCCAGTGGCTACCACATCAGGCATCATCACTTGACATATAAGATACATCATCGAAAATGTAAAGATGAAAGATTTTTCTTTTCCACTTGGGTTGCCAGTGATACAGACGTGTCCCTGAAGGGCCGGGAGCCTCTTCCTGTCCCTTCTCTGTCCTGAAGTTCAGCCACTGGGCTTGTTTGAAGTGTTTGTTAGAGGTTGGATGGTGCTGTGGACTGAATTGTGTCCCCCAAATGTGTATGCAGAAGCCCTAACCCCCACTGTGATGGCATGTGGAGATGGAGCCTTTGGAAGGTAAGCAGAGTTAGATGAGGCCATGGTCAGAGGGACCCCCATAATGGGATTAGTGCCCCCTTATGAGAAGAAACACCAGAGAACTTGCTCGCTGTCTCTGCAGGGTGAAGACACGGGGAGAAGAGGGCCGTCTGCAAGCTGGAGCCCTCACCAGAACCCAGCCATGCCAGCACCCTGATCTCCAGCTCCCAGCCTCCAGAACTGGGCATCACACATGTTCACGGTTAGGCTGCCCTGTCTGCGGTGCTTTGCTGTGGCAGCCCGAGCAGACTGCGGCAGGTGGGGAGCTGGGACGGCTGAGGGCTTCCTGGGGACTCCCCTGATCCCTGCGCTCTAAGCTGCCTTAGGGCCAACAGCATTTCTCTCCCTGCCTTGAGATGACAAGTTGACCTGGTGTGTGGAAGACCCCCTGGATGAGCCCGAACATCCTCAGAGAGGGGGCTGTTTGCTGCAGCCACTAAGAAGCAGCCCCATCCTTCTGCACTAGGCACAGGTGGCCCTCAGAGGCCTGGGAGGAGGGCACCCCTGAATCTCCACCGACCTCCCGGCCTGCATGTGGCTAAAGAAGGCACCTGCCCACGCTGACCCGTATCACCACGGCTAAGCTCAGTGGGGCTGCAGTGCTGCTGGCGAGAGTCCTGTGTTTTCCAGTTCACTTCCTCTCCCACTGCCTCTTCTCCCTCAGCTCCCCACCCTTCCTCCTCTATCTTCCCTCAGGCTGTGACCTTAGTTCCTGTTTCACTGAGAAAGGAGATAAATTGGAAGAGAATGTTCACTCCCTACATCTGTGCCCATCTTTCCTCCGGACCTAAATGTAGGAGCTAAAACTATGAAACTCTCAAATGAAAACATAGGAATAAATCTTCATGGCCTTGGAAAAAAAACTCTTTATGACCTTGGATGAGCCAATGGTTTCTTAGATAAGACACAAAAACATAAGTGACAAAAAGAAAAACTAGATAAATGGGACTTCGTTAAAATAAAAAAATTTCTGTGCTTTGAAGGACACCATCAAGGAAGCAAAAAAAAACAAATCAGAGACTGGGAGAAAATAATTGCAAACCAGGTATCTGATAGGGGACTAGTATCTAGAATGTATAAAGAACTCTCACAACTCAACAATAAAAAGACAACCCAATGGGTGAAGAATTTGAACAGACATTTCTCTAAAGAAGATATTCTAACAGTCAAAAAGCAGAGGAGAAGACACACTCAGCATCATTAGCCATCAAAACCACAATGAGATATACCAGTTCTCCCCTACTAGGATGGCTAAAATAAGAAAGACAAAAATAAATGTTGATGAGACCGGAAAGAAACTGGAATCTTTAAATGTTGCTGATGGGAGTGTAAAATGATGCAGTCACTTTGGAAAACAGTTTAACAGTTTCTCAAAATATTAAACATAGAGTTATCATATGACCCAGCAATTCCACTCCTAGGTATATAGCCAAGAGAATTGAAAGCATATGTCCCAACAAACGCTTGTATGTGAATGTTCATTAGCATTTTTTAATAGCCAAATGTGTTAACAACCCAAATGTCCATCAGCTGATGAATGGATAAACAAAATATGGCGCATACATTGTATGTAACAAACAATGGACTATTTTATTATTCAGCAATAAAAAGAATTAGATACTGATACCTGCTACAACATGGATGAACTTTGAAAATATGCCAAGCGAAAGAACTAGTCACAAAAAAACACGTATTGTATGATTCCATTTATATGAAATGTCCAGAAAAGGCAAATCCATAGGGACAGAAATAGATCAGTGGTTGCCAGGGGCTGGGGGAGGGGAGGAATGGGGAGTGACTGCTCGTGGATATGGGGTTCCTCTTTGGGGTGACAAAAGTCTTTTGACGCAAGAAAATGGAGATGGTCGCACAATCTGGTGAATATACTAAAAGCTACTGAATTGTATACTTTAAAGAGGGACGGTGGGTTTTATGGGATGTGAATTATAACTCAATAAGGCTGTTTTTAAAAAATTTCTTTAATCCTGCACCCCTCTCTAGCCACTGCCCCATTTCTCTTTATCCCTTTGCAATGGAATCCCCACAGGAGTTTTCCACGTGCGCTGTCACTAACCTGTCCCCTCTCATTCTCTCCATCCTCTCCAGCAGGTGTCTGCTCCTCCCACCACACTAAATGGCCTCCTAGCAGGGGCACCACTGCCCTCCATGTCACTAAACCCAGCTGTCAGTTCTCAGCCCTTGTCTGACCTGACCCACGGGCAGCACGTGGCACAGCTGAGCACCGCTCCTGCCTGGCCTCTCTGACCCCACACTCTCCCAGTCCTCCTCCTGCCTCCCTGGCTGTTCATTCTTGATCTTTGCTGCTTGCACGTCTGGTCCTGACTTGCAAACACTGGAGCGTCCAAGGCTCATTTTCTTACCCTCTTTCTCTCTCTTCCTCTTTTTTTTTTATTAAGGTAAAATTGGTATATAAAATTATATAAGTTCCAGGTGTACAACAATGTGTCCATTGCCAAGTGGTCACCACCGAAGTCTAGTTACCATCCATCACCATTCACTTGACCCATTTCACCCACCACCCCAAACCCCCATCCTCACTGGTGACCACCAATCTGTTCTCTGAGTCTGAGTTTGTTTTGTATTTTGTTTGTTCATTTGTGGGGTTTGGGTGGTTTGGGTTTGGGGGTTGCTTTTTGTTTGTTTGTTTTATGAGGGGAGATAATTAGATTTATTTATTTATATTTGGAGGGAATGCTGGGGATTGAACCCAGGACCTTGTGCCTGCTTAGTATGTGCTCTGCAACTTGAGCTGTACCCTCCACCTGGTTTTTTTGTTTTTGTTTTTCGATTCCACATATGAGTGATATCATACCATATGTTTCTTTTTCTTTCACCTTTCAACTTATTTCACTTTACATATTGTCCTCAGTGGCCATCCATGTTGTCATAGATGGCAAGGTTTCATTCTTTTTTCTGGCTGAGTAGTTTTTCATTGTGTGCATATAGCACATCTTCTTTATCCAGTCATCCATCGATGAACACTTAGGCTGTTTCCGCAGCCGGGCTCACCCCTTCTCTTTCCTGTCTGCTCTCACTCCCCTGGGGCTCCCATCTTGTGCACAGCTTGCTCACTCTTTGAAGATTCCCAAGTGTGTTTGCCAGCTCAGAGTTTCCTCCTGCACTTGAGCCTATTAAGGACAACTGCCCACTCAGTGTCTCCGACTTTCCATTCTGAGACTGACTCCCTGATACCCATACTCCCCACTCCTCAAAAAAAGCACAACAAACAAGCAACACCAGCAACAAACAGCTTCTGGATCCAGAAACCTAATGCCTCCTTTTTCTTTCTCTCACACCCCCATATCCAACCCATCAGTCAATTCTGCTGGTTCTTCCTTCAGATATACCCATAATTTAATCTCTTCTCAGCACCTCCACCTGGGCCCTGGTCCACGCCATCATCATCTCCCCCTCCTCAGCAGTTTCCCAGCTGCCCTCCCAGCCCCTTTGATCAAGCTCAAGGCAGCCAGTGATTCTGCTAAAAGGTGAGTCCAATTGTGCCACGTCTCTGCTGAAAGCCTTCCCATGGCTCGCACTGTCTCAATCCAGCCCACAGCTAGAGAATTTACGGTGTCTCCAGGGTGCTCCACCCCCACCCCCTCTTACTCTCTTCATCTCTTGCTCCAACCACACTGGCCCCTCCACGCTCCTGGACCCGGCCAGGACATTCCCATCCCAAGGCATATGCACATTTGCCTCCTTCTCTCAATATCTGCCTCGTTTCCTTTGGGTCTTGACTCAAACTGACCTTTTCCGGGAAGCCCTTCCTGGCCACTGGATCTGAAATTGTAGCCATCCAGTCCTCGCTGCCCCCTCCCTGGCCTTGCTAATCATCTACAGTGCTGGATACGTACCATAAGAATAGACTCCATTCAAAAAGACAACC